GTCTGTCTATTGCAATGTTACAGATGGCAAGAATGTGATACAAACCCAGGTATTTATGGGCATTGCATGGGTTTCTCCGGGGGTGGGGAGGCACCCACAAACAGCAAACTGACAAACTGTTAAAAGTGTTTGGGATGAATTTCCAGGTGATTTCAAGCAAACTGGGTGAGTTTAATCCCCTTTCTCCTTTTTTACAGTTTTTTCTTTTTATTTTCAATTTTATTTTTTAATGGAGGGGGGTATTCGGAATCCCCTTGCAATAACCATGCAGGCAGTTAATAGTTCTCTTACCTGTTGCCCAGGCGATGGGCCATATGGTCCTCCACCACCCACTGGATCTACAGCAGTGTAGCGGGATACCAGTTTCCTGAGGTAAAACATAGATAGACAAACACACTGAGTTTACAACAATTATGTTAGATCCTTCTTGGACAAACTACACTTCACTCCAAACACTTGTTCAAGGTAGCCACTTCTGCTGTCCCAAGAAGAGCAGGGACTGGACTACAAAGAGATAATCATAAACTCCACTTTGTGCCACACATTGACGAATATGACACAAAATTTTGGATTTGAACTTGGATTGAAGCTTCCAGGGTAGGTTTTTATCAGGGTTAGCTAGTTTTGACTCAAACTTGGCTCACTTTTACCAACTGAATGCACAGAAAGAAAATTTCCATATTCACCAATAAATTATAATTGATTCCGGCAAATGCAAGATCAATTCTATCTATATGTACATGTACTTGCCTGTGGCTGATAAATTGACCAGTGAAATTTCCAAAGGCTATTTTTCGAGAAGTGACTTCTTGTTTGATTGTCTCAAAGCTGTCAAAGTTCATGGATCAAAAACTTCAGACTCAATAAATGCCTTATCAATGTATGTGTCATGACTTAAATTCACTCCTCAAAACAAATCATTTGAAGTCATTACAACGCAGTGTACAGGAAAACAGTGATGCAAAAAGCATGGCCTACTAGTACTAGTGACAAACTACCACTCTTGCCGACTGCCAACTTTGTGTTCTATACCTGCACATGTTGCGCCAAATTCCTTCCATCGACGGCACAGCCGATGCACAGTATAAACATTTGATGCCTAAAATCCTGATGCACTTGACAATCAATAGGAATTGATGTTACTGCAGATAATACACTTTTGGGTTACATGTACATGTACATATTGTGTACACAAACAAAAAGTTTATACAAAATGAACAAGAAAATGCGTCCGAGAAACACTTACTTGTCTGCAATGCCTTTGTTACCGATCCTTCTTAAGGGTAAATCAGATCCTAGCCCACTCAGGTCAAAAACAGACTCCCTGAGAATGAAAACAGTACATGTAAATCCAGGCAAAGACGTGCAATTTTCAAAATGATGGACATTTCTGTTCCAATTCTAGGGAGTCCTAGTGGAAACAGCGATTGCAATCAGAGTTTGTAAATTACGTGTTTGCGCCAAATTTTAGCATTACTAATGTAAGTCAGGATTCCAGCTGTTACATGTAGTTGCCAATGTCACCATTTGGCAAAAAAGAACGATGCATTTAGCACTGAATTAAAATGTACAGGTAAGCTGCTCAAACATGTCAAATGATATGTGGTTAACTAAAAAGACACTCTAACAATTAATCATAATTAATCAGTGCGCACTCTGTAAGGGGGTGAATCAACCAATACCGGACAGGGCACTTGATGACTTTACCAGAGTGCAATTGCTACATGTATTAGCATGTACAAGCATTATAAAACATCACAGGGCTTAAACATTGACACAGACTGACCTGTTATTTAATAAGTTTGGGGTTTTAAAGATTTAACAAGTCCAAAATGCAAAAAGTTTGTGACAATCCGCGTGTTCAAAATGGTGCATAATAAAAATGGTGTGCTGTGCTATGGAATATATTTTTTCAAACTGAAAACAGTGTGAACCACAAATATACGTGTATAAATGACCACAAAAAACACCCTAAGATTAAATTGAAACTCTACACATGTATTCCCATGTTTGCTACGATCCGTAAAAAGACCAAAGGACAGATAAGCCGCTCTCCCTCTTTACTGGACGTCAAAAAGGGCTGTCTTAAACACATAATTTTCACACAGCAAAGACACTGCACACTGTAGAGGGCAGCTTCCATTTGTGTGGAGAGCACTAGGAGCAATACCATGTGACTTACTGTGAAAAGGATGATGGTTCAAACGTTTTGGCCTTTGTTGCGTCAACAGAGGGCAGTGTTGTGACTCGATTGTTAACCACCTGTATAATTCTCTCAGACTGGGCCTGCAAAGGAATATAAATCCAAGAAACAAAAATTATCCCTTGTTCAACAAATTTCTCGACCGCCCTTAAACAGCAAGAAAAGTTTGACACAGGTGTGTTGAACTTCTTTAATGACAAAGGTGAAAAAAATTGTTTGATGCAACTGAAGCTTCTGACACAAACTTATACAATCTTGAACATGTTTATGTACTTATTTTGAATGAAGGATGAATTGCTCTGTACATAACAACAATTTTGTGAGTCCAAATTAAACTTTTGAACTGTTTTTTCAAGGGTAGCATGGATTTGTTCAATCAGCATATGACTGTCTCCAAATCAAGACTTAGTAATCTTCCACAGACCTTTATCCCATCCTCTGTTTTCTGAATAGCATTTTGCAGTGCAGACAGATCAATCAGGTCCTTGTGGCCCTCTGACAGGCTCTTCTGCATTAAGTGCTCTTTGAGATGGTGGAGATCCTCTTGCACCTATGTAAAAGCAAGATTATTATTATTTAATTTCTGATAATGACACCAAGGATTCCTAAACTGAGCACCCTAGGCACTGTACACTAACAAACCCTGAAGAAACCTTTACGGACATGACAGATGAAACAATGAGAAGCAGTTACATTACACAGTTTTACACTTGGAATCCATCCTTGGAAATAGTTTCACACTTATCGTTTGACCTTCCAGCTATCTTGAAAAAAAATTAGAGGCTGTTTTTTTTTAGGCAGTGTATATTTGAGCATAAACCTGTCCTGATATACTTTAATCGTGTATCTCCACGAGACAAAGAAATAGGACTGTGTGAGAAATCTTCTTCTGGTTTACTTGCTTAACAATCAGTTAACACAGTATGAGATGAAATGAAGAACTTTTTCAGGCCTACAAATGTAAGCCTACACTTTAAAATATTTTGCAACCTCAAACAGGAACTTGAAATATCCTGTACTGTAGGCCTAGAGCCTATTTTCATGCAAGTACCTATTTAAATAAGATCTGATTATAGGACTTGTTAAAGTAGCTTGCTACGTAGACTGAAAAAAAGGAAAATTCAAGGGAAACAGGCCTTGGTCTATAGGCCGTAAATCTTAATTACAAGATTGATTCCTGGAACGGGAAAGCCCTGGACATGCTAGAACATGGTTCGCTGGCATGTCCGGAGCTGCTACACGTAGGCCTAGATTGACTAGGAACATACTAACTTTTCACTTCCTTACGAAATTTAAATTGGCCCAGAACACGAAAGTTAGAAATGCTCTAGGAAGAGTCACTTGCTAGCCAGGCAGGGCACCAACACTGACCAAGAGAAAGAGAAAGAGAAAGTGTCGGCTTGTCCGGAAACGAGGCCATGGCATTGGCAACATTTTGGTCCATCCACGTTCCAACGTTAGCCTGCAAGTGCATCAACACAAACTCACCTTCACCAGAATCTCTCCAACTTCCTCTGGCCTTCTCTCGACCTCAGTCATATTGGACGGGCTGGGATAAAACTCCAAGAAATAATGTTATGCACTCATCCTGATCCCACATTCAAATTAAGGTTGCTTTTAATAAATTTATGTGAACAAGATAATTCAGTCAAATCCTCTTAACCACTGTGCGAAGGTTTCTCGGCAACATCTAAACATTCTTCTACGCATGCGTGTAGCGTCCTCGCGCTCACAGTTAGACTTGTACAAGTCGGCAGCTTCAAATCTTGGCGCTCACTTTCGACGCGAACTTCACGCGCAGCGCAGATGCCCTTTTGCACAGACGTCACCTTCGTCCGTCAGCAATTTTCAGTCATACAGCTTCATTTGCAGTAACCCTCTGGAATCAAATTAGTTTCCACTCTTCTGAAGGCTTCCTTATTAATCCTTGGAAAATTCAGGAGGAATTTTTACCAAATGGACGTGGAAGCGACGTGTCACACCCCATTCTTAAGTTTTTTTCCCCTTCAACATGATAACGTTGTTGGCAAGATGATGGAGAAGGAAAGGGAAAGGATGGGAAAGAGTTAGGTCGAGCACGGAGGAATAAAACAAATAATAATTCCTCCATGGGTCAGGGAATCACTCGGCACCCTTTCATGATGCCCCTCCCCAAGTAATGGCCTGGCGACGCTAGTGCCCTCATTTCGATTTCGCCTAGTTCGTGGTATTGGCCAGTTATCTGTGACAGGCGGGGCAGAATGCGTATGAACAGCTATTTAATATCAATATGATCCGATTCAGTTAGACATCCAACTTGAGCTGAAGCCGCATCCCCCGTACTCAGTTGAAAAGAGCCATAGGCCTGGACCTATATGCTGGTCGGGAGGATTTGTTGGTAGAGCGATGCAACCGTAACGCGTGCTTTTCAAACTCATGTGTGAACCTTCGCTCGGGATCGTGGCCCTCAGTGCAAGCATCAGCCCCGGGCCCAGCGCAATGTTCGGGCGCTCATTGGGCGACGAGCGTACTGAATTATGAATTGAGCGAGGTGCAGTTCCGACCAAAGGAGCTTTCGTTGTTGAGAAAATTGCGCCCTCTTTTGGTCCAGCTCGAAGCTCATTAAAAGGTGTACTCTCAATGGCGATTACCACAAGGAGATGTAAATGTTTGTCTGTTCATGCATTATTTGCGAGGATAGTGGTGTGCGTGTCGCACCTGCCATAATAATCACGAGTGAACTTCATTTAACAGAACTCTTTGACACGGCAAAGAGTTCAAAGTTCAAAAATGCTGCGCACAGCCCCGTTGAAGTAGTGCAGTGGGGTCCCTACACCAGAGAGGCGTTAGCACTGTCCAAGAGGTGTGCGTATACTAACAGGTTGCACCGCTGCTTATATCCGTTTCAAACTTTCAGCTTCACACTAGTTCAGTTTTTGCCGCCTTATGCAGGATGTCTGGTAAGTTAGCTTCCATTGTATCTGCAGTCATCGAACTGCAGAGTCAAAATACATTTACCTGCCTCATTAAAAGAGGGTGGATTTGTTTTACGGTGCAGTTGCAATGTCGCAAGTGTAGAAATAGTACAGGCATGCTGTCAGTGCAGTGCGAACTTCGTATACTGTTGCTTTCTTAAAAGTAAATAGCCCAGGCAATAGTTATGGGCGTTGCAAACGGGCAAGCTGGGGCAAGGAGACGCTTCACCCCCCCCCCGCCTTTCCCAAAAAGGAAAACTAAAACCTGAGGAAAGGAAAGGGGAGAAAAATGGACGAAACGGGGCCGGGTACATGTAGGGCATTAAAATGCCCAAATTGCTCGAAATACCACCTACCATTAGTTAGTCAGTGTTGCCCTGATATGCTTTGCCCTTTACCGGTGGAAAAAGTGCTGCAGCCACGTGCACGGTCATGATGCATCACTGATATGCATTCATGTAATCTTTTTTACAGAACAAGTTTTACTTAACCTGTGACAAATGTTTGTCCACTAAAGAATCCGGCACCGCCGACGCCTATATGCAGCTCAGGGCCACTGTTTGCTCCACGCCCGTGAAAAAAGTGTGGAGAGTACCTTCATATCCGCGGGCTCGGCTTATTCTTGATCGTTATTTTCGCGTCTGGACCGGCGATCCGTTTCGTCCATTCTTCGTAACTGGATCATTGTATAAATATTTTGGGTCCATTTTTTTCGTATCCCTGGTACATCCAGTGTTTAATTTCGTAGATTTAGACAGTGGTGTAACCATGGGGGATTGAGTCACGAGGGACACGTGCCCCCCCCGGCGAATACCTGTGCCCCCCCCCCCGATGCCCCCGTTTGAAATCCATGAACAACCTTTGCTGCAGCTCACTGTCTTTTTAAGTGTCATTAGGTAATACAAATTATTTGCCAAACGAGTAAAAAAATGAATTTAATTTTAATACACCTTGTCGAATTTAACAGGGAGTGAAATATCACTCGTAGAACCCCAAATATGTAGAATGACCTACCCGCGCTTGGTTTTTTTATTATTATTATTTTTAGCTGGAATGGCTTTTGACCTTCACAGTGTCGTGGCCGTTGTTGAATAGTGTTCTTTAAAACACGGTTATATGTTTTGACCTTGAGAAAGTATTATTGTCCATTGTGCGTGTGTGTTGTGGCATGTGTTTACTATAATACTTTGCATATGGACTGACTCGAGGAATAGACCACTTCCAATGCATATTTCATTATAAGGCTAGGGGAGCAGGGTAAGATGTAATCAAGCGGAATTAAGGGCATCATTCCTAATTAATACAGCGAGGCTTTTAATACGGCGAGGCTTTGATCTACAAATGCATTGTTCGGAGCAAGATTGCTCTTCGGATTCGAAGTTGACCAAGGTATCTAGTTGGCGGTTGAGTGAGTGCGATGTGATTGGAAGTGGCTAATGAGGCCAACACGGGCAAGAAAACCTCGTTCCCAGGTTGTGCACATAGTGCAGTGCTCTGGGTGCCAGGCTCTAGCCTTACGCATCTCTAGCCTTTTTTCAGCTTGGAAGATCTTCCACAAGAAAAAAAAGCAAGACAAAAGTTAGCATCCTGGGCAAGACAAAACACCCACTGATGAGCTTCAGCCCGAAACCCCATCTTTGCCTCAGTTCCAATACACAAAAATGTGCAGCGGCAAACCCCAACGTTAGCCCCAAATTACATTCTTTACTTCCATGCAGATTTTAACAATGCTTTCCCCGTACCATATACCTGTTCCCACTCAGTATGCCCCAAAACCATCAAATACCCGATCATAATCGGGTCCTTCATCTTGAGTATGCATACTCCTACGTTTCACATTGAGGACCGAACAATTTTTGGCGGAACAAGGGATGTTTCCCTGTCCTAGTGGTTAGTGTTTTATTCTGGGCGGTAAGTGCCTGTGTCCTTAATTAAGGAGGAGTGTTATATCGTAGGAATAATTTTGAAAGGAAACATATGCCCTCTCTCCTCTTTGGACGAGTGAACATTTTTTTAATAACGCACAAACTTTGTCACGGGGATTGTTACTGTTCCTCGGACACAATATATTCAACTGGGATGCCAACTTGAGACAGCACAGGGGTTTTCCCCCTTTATTCTTAATTTCAGCATTGGGGAACGGACACACTATGCAGACATTGTTAAAGAGCTCATGGTATAACTTCTGTTCGGGAACTTGGTTTCCATATCTTTGTACTCTTCTTGAATGTAAGAAAATCCTTTCATGATAATGGTGTACTTTTTACGCCGTCGTTCTCCAGACTTGAAGGATGCAATCGACCGACAAAATGCTATCTTTGAGAAGCACTTTGCCGCCAACGACATGGAGTCCCTGAAGGGCCTGTATACGGAAGACTGCCGGCTCATGCCACAGGGTGCAGACACCATGGTCGGCAACAACGGTAAGATATCAGACCTTTGATCATTGTGTTTTACCTCCTATGCTGAGATCCGAGTTGCATGACTATATTATGTTTCGGTCGTCCGCACTGCCCTTTGAGGGCAGTAAGGAGGAGCGAATGAGTATGATTCTGCGGCTTCGGAAGATAATATTTGTTTACAGGACGCATGTGGTATGATTGCCAGTACTGAAACTAAACATTACATCGCGTATTTTGATCTAAGGTCAACTGTTCAAGAGATTAAACTCACATGGCCGACTTGCGGTTACAAACGAAGCAGGGCTTTCATCAATTTGAATAGGTTCTGCTGTTCCGTGTTAGCATGTCGTCGCCTCGACTTACTCAGGATGGAAGTTTATAAACTCGTGTATTATATACTTAGGATAAAATCGATCGCGGTGTTATGATCGATCCTATGATGATTATTATTATTATCAAAATTTAACTGGATTGGTAGACTATTGGTGTAAACTTTTGTTTTGCAGCTTTCCAGAAAGACATTACTCCTCTCCTTTGGAATCATATTGTATATACATGTAGGTGATCGTGCGTTTTAGTTAGGATTAGTGATGAGACTAGAACATGGCATAAACGCCAGTTTCATTGCTTGTGCTTACTAATTGGGCGCACGACGGAAAGCCTAAAACAAAGAAGATGAAACTAAATCATTGACGTTATTAATACTGCCTACTGATATTCTATTAAAATGGACAGCGTTAATTTTGCTTGAAATCTTTATTTTTCGACAAGCTGACCTTATATCGACAGTTCATGAACGTAGCCGGAGCCAATGAACCTCACACGATCAACAAACGGGCCTCTTTCACGATTTTGCAGTTAATTTAGTGAAGGAGACACAACCATCTTTGGCTGACCGAATAAAAAAATCTCCACTTTTTCGGTGTTTCTCCTACGTTTCCCCCTCTCTCCGGCAAGCAAGCACCGACTGCGCACGAAATTGTTTTATGTATATGTTTTTAATGTATTTAATTTTTTGATTCATTAACCAGTGGAAAAGTGTAATAAAATAAGTAAAGTAAATACGATGGGCCGTTGCAACAGTAAAAGCTTTCTAATTTTCGGGCCGCTGGATGCGTCTGATCCATGCACACGCACCTGTTGTTTCACTCCACATTTTCCAATCATCGACTTAATAAAGATCTGCCTTTTGACTGCAGTTATCCCACAGGTGATGGGTGGTATGATCTCTGCTGGTGCCACGTCTGTCAGTCTAGTGGCCGATGAGGTTGGTCCGCTAGGAGCCTCGGCCGTCGGCATCGGTGACCTGGTCTACGAGAGAGGCCACTACAAATTCAGCAAGGCTGATGGCTCCGCTGTTGCAGCGGGCAAGTACGTATAGGTGGCCGCAATGGTCCTCTAAATGGGATTGAAACAATCGAGTATTCGTCCACGTGGGCTTCTGAAACCAGGGAACGTATTTTGGGTGCTTTTACTTTGGATAGGTCAATTCTTGCATTCACTGTTCTCCGTCATGAAACACCCGAGGGTAACTCCCTGTAGAGTGCAATATCGTGACGTCATTTTGACTGGGAGATATTGTACAAACGAGAGGAGCTGGCAAGATACATGTATCATTCGACATCTTGTCCGCATCAGTGAGGGTTTGAAAATGCAGAGGAGTTCATGGCAGGGACATTCTGGTGCATAGCGGGATAATCCGAGTGCAAGGCACAAAGCAGCTGACAGCGGGGTGCGAAGCGGTTGGTGCTGCCCTCTGCCATCATGGCTGCCCGTAATATGCTCGGGCTGATATGGCGCCATGCCGATTGCGAGAATGAGAACAAAGCAAAGCAAATATGAAATATTTAGAGGTAAAGGAATGAAACCTGGAGAACTTCGATGAACTGCCTGATGGTTAAAGACAGTCCGCTTCGTTAGATTTTTTATGATTCATATGGATTTCAGTATTTTCCTTGCTCCTGTTTTGTATTTACTGGATGTTAAGGCCTGTTAAAAGCCTTTTTTCACCTTACAGCGAGCCGCTAGTTCTTGCTTTACCACTCCCAGACAGCCCCGTATTAAGAGCATTCTGATTTTTCTCATGAAAAAATCCCAGTCAGTTGCTGATTTAAAGAAAATTTTGCTTTTATATTTCTAGATACGTAGTCATCTGGAAAAAGACCGAGGAGGGCTTCAAGTTGTACATCGACATCTTCAACGACAATTGAACTGTCGAACGAACATCTGCTATAATTAAGCGTGTACTTTCGATTGAGCATCGACATCTGTTCGACAAGTAAATGCGCTTTTGAACGAATATCGACATCTGTAACGTCAACAAATCACACTTTCGAATGAACATCGACATAAGTGCTACGTCAATTAAACACCATTTCGTACGCTTGATATTTTCAAAAGAGCTTTTATTTTGCTATCGATAGAGTCAGACAATCAATCAAATCCAGAAAACATTATTTTCTCATTATCAAGTTATTGTTTATAATTTAAAGGAAATCAGGTTGCTCAAATCAAATTCTGTCTACCAAGAAGGAATGAATTTTATTGACATACATTTGCAAATTCGTTTAGGCACTTTTTTGTTTATGGTTTTATTTAACACGAAAATCGAGTGCAGAATAGGGTTACATTTCCCCAATTGCTCAGAAACATGGCCATTATTTCCAGTATGGAAGATACCCTCACGTTGTATTTTGTAAGTGCTAAAATTCTGAGAAAATACTAAGCTTTCAAACGGTATTCTACGCTGAAGCAATTCTTCTAGGACCACGTCTGCTAAAAGAAAGGTAAATGCGCTGTCTTTTTTTCCCAGAAGAATTGAAATATTGGTATTTACATGTTCTGCCTTAAGTCTACACACGCCCCAGAGGCGTTACTATTCCTAACGATCGGACACTAGACAATTCAGTTGTTGGATCATTACGCCGGATTACATGCACAGCCTTGTGGTGTTTGGATTATGGTAATGCTTGTCATTTCTTGTAATTTTCATTTTTCGGCTTCTAGGTCCCCGAACACTTAAGAGGTATTAATACCAATCTGTGAATCATATTGCTGCCAAGGGACATAATTAATGCAAAGATGCTTGTATTTGTTTTTTTTTTATCTTCCTTGTGTTACTTAATTCTGAAAACGTTTATTATTCTGTTGGCAGAACTTACTTGAGAAAACATACTGATACCCACTACGTTGAGGCTGATATTTTAGATGTGGGTGCTCCCTGACGGGACAATTATGAAGGAAAAGCGGTCAAAGTTGGCACAAATTTGTCTCATCACATGATCAACCCGAAAGAATGAGCCATTTGCGAGTTAAAGTTGAATAAAATATGGTAAACTGTGTCATCTGATTGGATAAAAACGTAACAATTTGAATTCCCCAAACTAAAGACACGGTTGCTATACCTCGTGGTTCGGGGCAAGTTTTTGCTTAGCGACCACCATCCTCGGAATGGACTGGTTCCTTTGTGCTGTTCTTATCTATTGAGAACAGTGTATTTGTTGCAAGGCGTCTTTTATTAAGCAAAAGCTTGCCCCGAATCACAAGGTATAGCAAAAGGGTTTTAAGTATGGAGAATTCAAGTTGCTATGTTCACGTGAATTTGAATTCAAATTTAACTCGCAAAAGGATTATTTCTCTTGGTTCCGGAAATGACCGATATGTGTCGATCGGCACACGGTTATATTTAAACAGTTACATATTAAATATTGATAGTTTTCACACAGGAAAATGTCTTTCACGGCTTTTGTCGGGGCTGATTCACGGCACCGCTCACTGATCGGTTCATTTCTTCGGTCCTTAACCTTTGCCAGCGTATCACAAGCTAGCTTGTTTCTTTTCCTCGCGTACATCTCTGCTTTATTTTGTCTTGATGGAAACTTGCAGGTGCGTGATCCACGTCGTCAAAACGTGATACTTATAGTTACCTGTCATTCTTGCTCCACAAAAAGGTCTGAATGACGTCAGTTTCCGATTCAAACGAAAAGTCGTCACCTTTTCTCTCCTTCCACCCATACGGTCCCAATCCCAAGCTCCGCACCCATGCAGTTTTTAGAGGATAATGTCTCCAACTGGGTAAATACGGGTGGCCTTTTCCTGTGACGTACTGTCGCAATGCAACTGCATGAATGAAACAAGTGTGCCGACTTTGGTGAGTTGTCATAAGTTAACCGTCAACAACACGTCGGTGCTTATTGGCCAGTGTCGCTAAAGTTTGGCCTCCTTGTTTTGTGTAATTGCCGCAGAAATGAACACTATTAATGATTTGGTGGTACACGTGCATATCCACAAATTTAATGAAATTTTGTACAGCCCACAAATGGTTAAAAAGGTGCAGGACACAATTGTTCTCATAGTAGATGGTAATTTCACTTATTTATTTATTTTTTTTGTAACAATGTCATCGTAAGACATGTCATTACATATTGAGTTGCTTTTTCTACTGTTCACCGTAGATGCACAGAGGTTTGGTCATTTGAATGAATTCCTCCTGGTTTACATCGAAGCGCCTCGCGTCATTCAACTGGCAGATTCTCTCGTTACCTCGGCGAAGCACGTTGAAAGAGAGACACCCAGGCTCCTTGGAACATTTCACCGCACAGCCGTTGATGCTTGGAGCTGGAAACTTGCGAATCACGTGACCCATCAAGCAGGACGACAGAAGTCGCCAAGACTGCAGCTGAAAATTCTCGTTGTCAATCTGGTACTTACAGATAGCGTAGTAAGACTTACTGCAATGATTGTCTTTCCATCCACCCGTTGGAATCATTCTTGCACATTGAGGATGTCTGCAGTTGCTAGGCTCAGATGGTGTCCAATTCCTGTAAGTCTGCATGCTGTCACCGCCGCAAACCCACTGTCTCTCCGTCTTCATGTCATTGCAGTCAATCCAGTGGTCCTCTTGGCTGCCTTCAATCAATCTCCTGACAAAGCCATTTTCTGCCTGTGACCGAGGAGCCGTTATCTCTCCGCCCATCTTGTAGCATCTATTTCGCGATTCGGTCCATCTCAACGGTTCGTCAGTGCGAGCGTAGCAGGTGTCATTCCACTTCGTCCAACCTGGGCTGCAGTTACGTCGGGAACTGCAGTCATTTGCCTTGATGCATGTGACTGGAACTAGCACGGTGCATAGAGCAAGAAAAGTCTGCCGTGTTTTCAGAGCCATGATTTCAATACGTTTTCGAGGAAAAGGCAGGACTACTTACGTCACGGTGTATAGCAGCCGTTTTGAACAGTTGAATTGTTGGAGACATATGCCAGTCTTCAGCTCGCACGCGGTGAGGTCTTGTGTGTGGAATGTGCCGAAAGGATGGTTTATATTTCTTCCTCATATCATGTAGTTAAAAGCAGCGATTAATAATTGAAGCCAAACAGTTTAAACATTGAAGTTAATGGATGCATGTATCAAGTGCGTACAGCGTACTCAACTAGTCAGATTCACACAACTAAATGAAACCATCCAAGACATGGCCAAAATGGCGTCCCAAACTCGGAAAATTTAATTCACAAAAAAATGTCCTTTTTAGGTTGCAGTGCTGCCTCTTGAAGCCAAACTGATACTCCATTTTGATGTAGTTTTTTAATGGTCAGCTATTTTGTTGACGATTGGGCTGTGCTAGTAATAAGGAGAAAATGGACTAAATGAGTGGTACCGGCGAGAGAAACATAGTTGTACGTCCGTCAGGCCAGCGTGTGTGTTTGTATAGGCCTACTCAGCGACTCAAAGCAGACAGTCGGCAAAGTTGAACTGGGCTCAACTTTGCCGATCCGTCTGGGGCTGGTTTGCGTTTGTGGCGACACTTCCGTCTGACATGTTTCCATTTGTCTGCGTTGCAGTTTGTGTCTTGATTGTGTGGATCTCTGCGTTTCTCACGTCGACATGGAAACCAGGCTTACCTTAAATTATTAAACTACTTCCCTTGGTAGTACACTGTGACTGACTCGCACGTGAAGTTAAATATTAAACTACTTCCTTTGGTAGTACACTGTGACTGACTCGTACGTGTAGTTAAGTTGCCTTTTTGGGTCGTTCACGTAACATTTAAGAGCCTAACTGCTTGCAAACGTTCAAGGCCTGCTATCAGGAAACAGCCGCCGGTGAGACATCTCCTGTCCACCGTGTACGGTTGAAAGCTGAATCTCGGTTCCAGAGTTCTCCAGTCACGTATGTTCGGCCCCCGTAGACTGAGCATGCATTTTAGTTTGTGTATTCGCGCATGCGCAATAGTGACATAATGGTCGTTGGCCCGAAAAATTATTCTAGCTTACGATGCATATCGGTGGTGACCCATGTGAAGGATTTGTCCTGCCATTTCTCTTGAAGACCTCGTGGAAAAATAACTTGCAAAGGTTAACGGCTAATGTGGGAACCACAGTTCACTGTCTCTTCGAAATGAAGACCATGTCGTTTACAAGCTTGAAATTAGTACATGCATACTCATCGAAATCTCTTGGCCACGGAAATTATGTGTGGTGAGTATTTTGAAGAAGAAAGTTAATTGCCTGAATGCAAATAAAATAAGAAAAGCACAACGACCAAGAATGATAATTATACGTTACAATTAACATATAAGTCGAAGGGGTTTTAATAAAATTGAACACGACACATTAAAAGTACAAATGAAATCAAACGATTCTTTCTGTTTCAATGAATATCAATTATCGTCACCTGAAGCATGAAACAGAAAATATTAGCGCGGTATATCGAAAAATTGAAATAGAACATCAACCCATAGCACGGTGTATTTCACTGTTAATTAAGAGCATTTCTCACTGCCCTTGATGCTGTAATAAGTCACAACTGCGATTTCTGTGTCTATCTAGTCAATTTTGATGTGTCTTTTTTTGTAAGAATGTATATTTTGAAGAATAAACGACACTTTTCTGAAGAGGATGATTTTGCAAGAGCGGTTTAAACTTAAAAGAGAAGCTTTGTTTCTTATAGGAAATACATTTGACTGGAATTATTTCAAGAAGAAAATGTCTTGCAAACTGCGATTTTTTGTGAAATAATTTATTTTGGAGCCTCATGTTATAAAATTCACTGTTGAGAGTTTAAACACTTTTTACCTACTTTTTCCACACGTTTAACTCGTGACATGTTCGTTAAAAATTTGTGTTTAGGAATGTGTTCAAACGCTAAACGCTTTACCGTGGGTACGTGTTTGGCTTTTTGAAACCCGCCTAACATTTCAACACAGTTCCTAAACGCATAACACTAAATATGTCGCGGTTAATCGTCAAAAAATGGGTACAAAGAATGTGTCTAGAAATGTGTTTAAACTGTAAGCGTTGATTTTACAGTGTGGTGTGAATTTACCTTTGAAAATCGATTCAGTAAGACATATTTCCGAAGATACGCCAAAACTATTGGACCTTCACGCCAATGCATGGCTCCTTTAAGCATCCATTTTGAGCATACTTTGGCAGATCACAGCGTATAGAGTAAACCTGACAGCACCAATGATCTGTGTTTCAAACAGTATGACTCTTAGGCCTAACTCTCTGATAACTGACGCCGCACACAGGATCCCAACGATTTTTCCCATCAACAGACTTTAAAAAAAATCTTACTTTTGAATTTCCAGACACGTAATTATCTGGAGAAAAAAGAACGAAAATCCTCTTCAACCGATGACACCGTAGTCGCAAGACGTGTCTCCACGGGGCTCCAAATTTATTATTGTCGATAACCAGTCAAGCGATTAGCGTTATGCCCCCGAGACAACGTAGGGGGGAGGCAAAAGGTGGAACGGCAACCCCCCCCCCCTGCAAACGTGGTCTATTCCCCCTGAAACTGGACGTTTCTACTCTGACAACCTGGAGCGGTTCTCCCGTCGAAATAACTTCAGAGTCGTAGGCGTGGATGCAGCAGGGGGAGAATTGCATAACTTTGATTGAGGATATCTTGGCATGTGAGTTTGGCTGGAGTGAGCTACCGAGAATTGAGCGTGCTCATCGGGACGGTCAAGGCAAGAACAGTAAACCGTAGTAAAAAAGATAAAGGTAAGGTTCTCCGCGAACGCCATCGAGCCTTGGACGGCTCCGCCTTGTACGTCCTTGATGATCTGAATGCCCAAAACCGGCAAGAAAAAGCAAGGTGGAAGAACAAGGTCAAGGCCCTCTTCGAACAGGGAACAAAATTAAGTTTCTAAGCAGGAAGATGGAGAACGAGGAAAGGCGTTCCCTATGAGTTCAACTAAGAACACTGGCTACTTATGTTGCTCAGGTATAGGCTATTAAAAGTAGGAGTTTGTTTTGTTTCGCTACCATAATATTGGAGCCCCTTTGGAGACAAGCATCATCTTGCCAAGTAGATTGCAAGTCAAAGGTGTTATTGGGAGATGTCAAGGATTTCTTTTGTTTTGAGTTTAAGGATCTATGGGTTAGCTTGTTTGGGGTGGGTGTTGTTTCAGAGGGTATTCTATGGGGATTGAATAAACAAAAGCCCAGAGAAATGTCATTAGTAACAAGTATGTGGTAAAATTCTTTGCATTGCTTTCTTTTCTTCAATTAAATTTCAATGGCAAGGTGTGTGCCAGCCTTTTTTTTTAAATGACAAGCGCTGCTAGTAATTATCGATAGCTTCGATGAATTGCAGAGGATTTGGTAATTATGAAAAACGCAGGGATATGTTTCACTTTTTGAAAAATAAGAATTTCTGTATCTGTTGTCTACAAGATGTGCATCTCAACGACAAGACGGAGGCCCGTGTCAGAAGCGAATGTGGTCTCGACTTTTTTTTTCAGGTTCGTGGGCAAGTAACTCCAGAGGAGTGGCAATTTTGTTTATAACTATAACTTTGAGTATAAAGTACATAAATCGAAGACAGATGACAACGGTGATTTATTGGCCCTTGATATTGAGATTGCTGAGTTTTGTATAAAACTCTTTAATTTATATGGGCCTAACAACGATGAGCCTGCCTTTTATGACCATGTTTCGGATTTTATCAGTAATTTGGAATTCCAAGTTGATTAGCTGCGATATTAAGCCTAGTTAAAGGTCGGGTCATTCCTTAGGAGATATGTATCTTGATTTTAATAATAAGGAAAGAGGTAATTATTAATTAATTTGGTTTGGTTTGGTTAATTATTGATTATTGGAAATTCAACAATTCTTTGCTTTCTGATCCCGCTTATGCGGGACTAGTTAAACCTACTATACGCGAAGTGGTGAAGGATTATGCAGCTTTTCCTTACCAACCTGATAACCTAAAAAATTTCACCCCAGAGATATTCAGTTCACAATCAATGAACAGTTTTTCTTTTAAATGCTTCTTTTACAAATTCGTTCTAAGACGATCTCTTTTGCTGCTTGGAAAAAGAAAGAAGCTTGTAAAGCCGAGCGTGAACTGGAGAGCGAAATCTCTGATTCGCATAATAAAGTGTGGGAAGGAAATCTTGAGGCCGTGGATGCTCTCAATAGTAAACAGGTGGAGCTTCTCAGTTTTGTCAGGTTAAAATAGAGGGTGTTTTAATCAGGTCCAAGACACGATGGATGGAGCAGGGGGAAAAGCCTTCAAAGTATTTTCTTAATCTGGAGAAACCCAATTCTGTTAATATTGTCGCATTGTTAAAGAGGACAATTGTACTTTGACTCGGAGTGAAGTTTTATTCTTTTCGTGAGATCAATGTCGAGTAAGTTTGACTTAAACGCCAAATTTTGTTGAGGCAAGGAGAAATATCCTTACCAAAGATGTACGGGATCGCATTGAAGGTCCATTAATTTATGAAGAAATTACTAAAGCGTTTAATGGTTGTAAAAATGGAAAATCTCCTGGCTCTGACGGATTTAGTTACCAATTTTACAAGTCTTTTTAGCGATGCTTTACAGTGGTTTTTTTAAGGTCTTTGAATTTTGCGTATAAGTCTGGTCAGCTTTCGGCGACACAGTGATTACTTTGTTGCCGAAAGGGTATAACCCTGCCAGTTTTTGAAAAATTGGCGACCTATCACCTTGCTGAATACCTTATATAAAATTGCCTCTGCCTGTATTGCGGAGAAGCTGAAACAGTACCTTTCTCAACAGAATCATTGGTACTAACTCATTTTTATGTAAAATTCACAAGTTGGATACCAATGTCTGTACCTTCTGTAAAAAGGAAGAGGCAACCCTTATCCACTTTTTTTGCAACTGTAATTATGTTAATTCTTTCTGGAGCTCAAGAGTAGATTGGATTAAGGACAAAACAAAGATACAGCTTGTAATAGACAATCAACTTCGATGTTGTCGACACTAGACTCAAAAGTCTTAATCTGATCCTTTTGGTTGCCAGATTTCACATTGATAAAAAGAAAAAATGAACAGCGAACGTCCCTCATAAGAAGTTTTTAAATAGGATATCCAGAGGTATTATCATTGTGAAAAATATTTGGCCTCTGTTTTGGTGCTTGCCAACAATTTTAGTTGAAATGGCAAAATTACTCTGCACTCTTATAGGAGAGTAATAAAAAGGTGTCTCGGGAAAAAACCAGAAAAGTGCTTGTAATTGTACATCAACATCAACAACACTGGCGATTCACAATAGTGTGCCTCCAAGAGTTTGCAGCGCGTTGGCCAATCACAGCGCGCAAAATTTGTGGACCCTTTCCAAACGCGCATTGGGTCGACAGATTTCGCGCATTATGATTGGCCAACGGGTTGCAAACTCTTGGTGGTGCCCTATTGTGAAACACCCGTAGTAAACAAATTTCCGAACGGACATTGACATCTGCTGCAGGAAAACACCGATTTTAATCTAAATACTCGAATAAATTTCAGTTTGCTATTATAATCATGACATTAGATGAAATAAATCCAATCAAATCGACAAAGCATTCTTACCTTCATTGCAAGTCATTGTAAACAGACTTATTGGGAATTAGGTTTCTCAAATCAAAACCCATCTACCAAGAAGGATTGCATTTCATTTGCATATTTTCAATTACTGATGGCACTTCATGGTTTTATTTAACACGAAAATCAAGCGCACAACCCCTTCATTTCTGGTAAGGAATACACCGTTGCAAATTGAATTTTCTAGTTGCTGAATAGTAGGTAAACTCAAAGCTTTAAAACGCTATTTTACACTTAAATCGGTTCTAAAAAAACCGCCTACCGATGTGACATTATATAATTCAGTCCTTGCTTCGTTTGGCTAGTTTATATAGACATCCTTCTGGTGTTTTGATTATGATGACATTTTTCATTTCTGGTATATATCATTTGTTGGTTTGTGACACCCAAAAGGTAACAATACGAATCTGTAAATAACGTTGCTGCCAAGGGGCAGAATATAAGTATGCTTTAAATGACTTAATTAATGGAAAGATTTTTGTCTTCTTTTTTCTTCTTTGTGTCCATTGCAAGGAAGGTTTGCCATTCTTTTGGTAGAACTAAAAAAGAAATGTTGATATCCACTGCGTAGTGGCTGATATTAGAGATGCTTAAAATTCTCTGACTTGACGATTCTGACGAAAAGGGGGTCAAAGTTGGCACAAACATTGATAGTTTTCCAAATAGTTTTTCATGGCTTTTATCGATGCTTATTCATAACCACACTCACTGATCGGTTCATTTCCATGTACAGTGTAGCTTGCATTAATCTTAACGTTGGCGAACGTGTTGCTTCTTTTCCTCGCGTACATCTCTGTTTTATTTATTTATTTTTTTTTACAACGAACTCTTTCGGGCGCATAATTCACGTTGTCAATAGGCGATACCTAGTTTATACCGGTCATTTGTGCTATTAAAATAGGTCTGGAATACGTCACTTCCTGAGATGACCGTAAAGCCGTCAGCTTTACACTGCCACCCTACGGTCCCAGCTCCGCCCCATTCAGCTTTCAGAGGATAACGTCTCCAACCGTTCAAAATTGATGGGCGTTTCCCAGTGACGTAAAAGTGTCTCGGTCAAGCAACTATCTTAGCACAAACTCCAGAAATGAAACAGAGGTGTAGATTAATGTAAAGTTGTCTTCAGTTATCACCGTCGACAGCACCTTACCACAAGTGTCGCTAATGTTTGGCCTTCTTACTTGGTCATTGCCGCAGAAATATATTCAAAACATACATTGAAGATTTTATGGCGCATATACATATCTGCAAATTTTTGGAACTATTCTACAGCCAACATGTTAATAAAAAGGTGCAGAATTCGATTTTACTCTAAGTACATTGTAATTCCACAGTGTAACAAATGTACATGCTATCTTATTCCCTTTGTTAGTACCGTATCTTAGTACGTAGTGTCTTAGTACGACGTATTATTACTCACGGAGTGACGTCAATTGTTCACCGTAGATGCTCAGAGGTTTGGTCATTTGAACAAATTCCTCTTTGTTTACATCGAATCGCTTTGCGTCATTCAACTGGCAGATTCTCTTATCACCTTGATGAAGCACGTTGAACGACTGACAACCGGACTTCTTGGAACACTTCACTGCGCAGCCGTTGATGCTTGGAACCGAAAACTCGCAAATCACGTGATCCATCAAGCAGGATGACAGAAGTCGCCACGACCGCATTTGAAAATCAACCTCGCCGATGTGATACTTACAGACAGCGTAGTAAAAACCACTGCAAGAGTAGTCTCTCCATACACCCGTTGGAATCATTCTTGCACAGTGAGGACCGCTTCCACTGTAGTTGGGCTCGTATAATGTCCAATTCCTGTAAGTCTGCATGCTGTCACCACCGCAAACCCACTGCCTCTCCGTCTTCATGTCATTGCAGTCGATCCAGTGGTCCTCTTGGCTGTCTTCAATCAATCTCCTGACTGATTCATTTTCTGCCTGTGACTGAGGAGCCATAATCTCTCCGCCCATCTTGCTGCATCTCTCCCTAGCTTCGGTCCAGCTCAACGGTTCGTCAGTGCGAGCGTAGCAGGTGTCACCCCACTTGCTCCAGCCTAGCCCGCAGATACTTTGGGAGCTGCAGCTATTTGCAATAACGTAACTGACACAAAATAGCTCATAGCATAACACGAAAAGTATTTCGTTTTTCAGAGCCATGATTTCAGTACGTTTTCGGAGGAGGCAGGAACACTTATAAATGCCAGTTTGTTGTTAGCAGTGTCTTGAACAACTGTATTGTTGGAGACAAACAACAATCTTCAGACGACAGCATACGGACGTACTCATCTGTGTCTAGTAGCTTGAGTTTTTTGTCGTTAAAAAGCAAGTGAAAAGCAGCAGGTAATAATTAAAGCCAAACGGCTTAAAATATTCAAGGTAATGGGTGGACTAATTGTACATTAAGCAGACCTTCCCGAATGACCTCCGAGAGCACGCCCTTAGGTTAGGCGTGTTTGCAAACAAGTGTCTTTGCAAGCTTACGCCGCTACACTTTTCACTTTCTAAACAAAACATAATATCTGAAAAAAAAAATCAATCGGATGAAATTTACTTCTTTTGCCAAAAATGCTTGAGCTGATGTAATGAGCTTCGTCGTTTAATTTGGCCACATGGTGATACACTTGAATTCTTCTGCTTGAAATTTTCAAAACTGTACAAATAATTGTGTGTAACCACTTGTAACCAAAACTCCACGATTGGAATCGTATTGGGCTCGCACTTGACAGCTGGGACTCACACTTGAGAGGGACTCAAACAAAATAAACTCGCGCGACTCAGGCGAGAAGCTTTATGGACTAGGGGTCAGATGACGTCGGCTCAACTACATCACTGATGACGCTCGGAACATTCAATAAAATTCGGAAAGTATGAAAACTTATATGAATATCAAAATAGTGAGTAAAGAGAAACATTTACACCGACAGGGTAAAATGATCATACTGAGGCCGCCCACTCCAATGACGGCAAATGCTTATAAACAATAAACATGTCTTCATCAGTGGCTGGTGGTATGGCCCAGGTGAAAGTGTGTCAAGATATTTAAAGGAAACGTGTGACTGACATTACAGCCAGCATTCCAACGGCAATGGTTTTAACGGTAGTATAAAGTGTACATTTAGGCATAGGCCTATACAAAATGTATGTACGTGTAATTCTTTTGATACTTCCTGTTAAATTGCATTCAGAGATTTACTTATTATAAGTCTATTGCTCTCCGAAGATACACAGATGCTTCATCATTTGAATACTTGAAATTCTTCCTGGTTCACATCGAAGCGCCTTACTTAATTCAGTTGGAAGATTTTCTTTTTAGCTTCGTGAAAGACGTTGAAAGAGACACATCTGGGCTCCTTGGGACATTGAACTGAGCAGGTATTGATGCTGACTAGAAACTCGCACACCACGTGACCCATCAAGCGGGATGATAGAAGTCGCCAAGACTGCAATTGAAAATCAACGTCGCCGATTGGACACTTTCAGACAGCATAGAAAGATCGACTACAAGGCAAGTCCTTCCATTCACCTGACACGTTTGTTCATGGCGCTCATTACCAAAGTGCGCGTGCTCAAGTTTGCACTTAACAACAGCATAGCATATGCTCTGATTGCAAAATGAGATGTCATCTTTGTTCATGGATTTCCAGGAAACGGAGTATAAATAATGAAAATTTTATGACAAATCCAAATTACATTAACCGTTTTATTTTTCAGTAGCACTGATTTTGTGCCCTGCCTCAAGAAAATAAAGAAAAATCAAAATTGAAAAAAAATCGAGTGTTGTCAAATTTGATCAGTAGCTATTAAAAATGAGTTTTCCTGGTTATAAACCAGAAGACTGCATGTCTTAATCGATTGCACCAAAAACCAGAAATCCACCGGATAAAAATTTTGTAAAATGAGTTTGAACTTGAACCAAATTTTTGCGCAAATTATATGAAACCAGACATTTTGTAATGGAAAAGGCAATCTCTCAGCTAATCTGGGGCTTTCTATTATGGAACAATTTACCAGCTAAAGTCAAGAATGCAGCCTCTTTTGGGTTTAAATTATGTATAAGAAACTTTATTTTTAATTAGTTTTTTTTAATGTTTTGTGCTATTATCTTTTATTCTTAATTGTAACATTTTCTACCCTCTTCATTGTCCATTTTCTTTGTACTGCATAGGACCGTGATGTAAACAGCCTCTGAGCTGATTGTGTATCCTGTTTAAAAGATTGTGAAATAAATAAGTAATAAAAAAATAAAAATACGTCACATAATTCTTCTAATAAAAATTATGAACAAATAAAACTTTATTCTTAGAGTCAAGAGTTGTTACTTTGTCAAACTTTTGACAAAAAAAGAGGATACCCTTTCATCATACTCTTGTAAGGACAGACTTTTGAGTAACATTCTTGTAGCGGCGAGTCACGGGTCAAGTGCAGTCATGTTTTATGGGTACACATGTACGCGTGACATGTTCATGTACATGTGCAGGGACGGACGTGACGACTTCGACGTCTCTGTACCGCCCTGGTCAGTGTTCACAGCAGCGAAAGTGATGAGCCAGGAAATGTTACTAATTTAACGATTCTTCCTTTTGAAATGGTATCAGTACTAACGAAACGGGTACAATCTAACAAACAATCGTCACCCTCGTGTTGGAGATACCATTTTGGTAATAAAAACTGGGTTGAATTTTCATGCACAGTTGTATCCATACGATTTTGGGGTGATTCAAAAAACCTGATTATTAAAAGTTTGTTCCGGAGGATTCAAAATAAATTCCTGAAATCAATGCATTAATTAAGGGTGAATCTCTAATTTGTTGCTAGAGTTTTGTCTCAGCAAACTTATTTTCTATTAAAAATTGATTGACGAAATTAGTGCACAATTTTACAATTTCGATTACGTTTGTTATTAGAAAGGCTCACATAAAATTCACTTTTATACTCTTCTGAAATTTACCGTTATCTAAAACTCCTGTTGATGGAGGAAAATTGTGTGTTGTTCGTGGTGTCGTGTTTAGATCCTCCCGGAATTTATTTATGCTTCTACGCTTTGGTATTTTACGAGGTCAGTCCTTGACAAAATCCGCGCTATAACGTAGTCTGCTTGCACGAATAACTCTCGCTGTCGGCTTGAAAATGAAGTCCGCATGCACGCTGGTAAGGACGAGACAATCCTTGCACAATGAGGATGTCTTCCATAGTGGTCAGGTTCGTTGGGTACCCATTTCCTATAAATCTGCATGCTGTTGCCACCGCAGACTCACTGCCTCTCAGTGTTCATGTCATGGCAATCGATCCAGTGGTCCTCCCCGTTGTCTTCAATCAAACTCTTGATGAAATCATTTTCTGCCTGTGACCGGGAAACCATTAGCTCTCCGCCCATGCAGCTGCATCTATCCTGTGCTTTAGTCCAGTTCAACAGTTGGTTGATACGAGTGTAGCAGGTATTATCCTACTTGCCTCAATCTGGGTCGTAGTTACGTCTTTGGCTGCAGTCGTTTTCCATGACGTAAGCGGCTGTAAACAGCACGGTACATAGCACGAAAAACCTGCCGTTTTT